GAGCAAACACGAACTTCTAAGTTATCAGAGGTGGGATCAGGTGCCATGGAGGAGTGAGCATCCTCTGCTGACCGGTCACACCCACCATGTGCTCCTTGTCATGATCGGGAAATACAGGGAAAATCCGTCGACAATTCAGTATGTAAGTAATGGTCTAACAATTAGTATGAAAAAAGTCAGTCAGCATTTGACTTAATGATAGATTGTATTTGCTGACAAGGTCATTGTATCGACCATAGAACTTACGACATGATGACTTTAAAAGAGACTGCCGATATTCTCGTTTCATCAACCTGTTTGTCAATAACTTATCTCGTTTTAGAAATTGTTCATACGTAGAGCATGCTATTGCATATCGAATCAAATGAGAGATATAAACCCCGTATGCAGGTGATAAGGGTATATTGCTGCATAAGTAAGGGAAGTTGACGATTGAAAAGTCATCACGTTTATCATAAAGCTTTGTTGTTAGATTACCATTAACGTCTTTTAAATAAAATATCCAAATATGTAACAGATGTGTCAGACTCTGTGGTATCTTTTATCTCAAGCTCACCGGGATATATCGTGTCGACATATGAATGGAAATGACCATTGTTAATTGACGATACGTCGTCGATATATCTAAATGTCGAGTTGAAGGCCACAGCAAGTGTTTTCTTCTTTTCACGTAAAAGATTTTGAACAAATTCTGCTTCATATAAATCCAAAAATAGGTCTGCTAACAACGGGGCGCAATTGGTACTCATGGGAATTCCAATAGATTGTTGGAAGACCTGGCTTCAAGACCATAAACGGAGAATAGACTTAAGTCAAAATTTCAAATTAATATAACTTTTGAAATAATATTGATAATGAAACAAAAGTTTCATTATATGTTTGAACTTGAATATAATACAAACCTACCAATTTTTATGCACATATGCTAAATAAAACTCAAGATATTCAAAATCAAAATTTTGACTTAAATCTGTTCTCAGTTTATGGTCTTGAGGCCTGGTCTCCAAAAACCACATAGGTATTGTCAATCAGAAACTCGAGCGTCTTTTTAATGTCAAACTCAGATTACTTGTGTTTACAAACATATTGTTTTTTAACAAAGTAATTTTGCAAATGACCAATGACAAGGTAAGTAAATTTACGAGTTCAATTTTTATTGAAAAAAAAATCTGTCAACGATGTCAGAAAGTCTGGACTTTAATTTACTATGGGGAATAGTTGTATATAAAGTTGAAAAATCGTAAGTTTTTATGTTGATGATTTTGGTAAAATTTTGTGATTTCAAATGTTCAAAAAAAGTTCCTTGGATTATATATATATATATATATATATATATATATATATATATATATATATATATATATATATATATATAATACTAATATTATTTACATCAGTAGTCGGTAAAACTTTGTCTTTTCTATTTTCAGTGACAAGAGAGCGCTTGTCAAGGGCAATAACTCTATTAACTTAACTTTCTATTGATTGATTGTATATTTCATAAACGCCTAATCGGCAGTATTTTAGCATTTCGAAGGCCTAACTTTCTAATGCCCAGTCATATTTTAAGAACTTAAAAACGCATAAGCCGAAAAATGAAATAAATTTTTAAAGTCTTGAAAATGACATTAAATAGAAACATTTTTATAATTCTATTTTGTTGTAGAAAGCCAAATTGCTTTGCCAGAAATCAAGGTAGAAAATGCAGTGTATACCTAATCTAACAGATTTTCGACATAATAGAAAATTAAATACTCATAGTTCTGTAAACCACTCATTCAAAAAATAATTAAAATTGTCAAAGTGTTTAATCACATACATGTATTTTTAAAAGATATGAAAATGTTATTTTGTTATAAAATTAATGCTGTACGGACCCAATAAAATGTACATTGGTCCGAGTTAATCTTTCCGAATTAACCTAAAACAATTGATGGAATCTAGTTCAGTAATGTTTCTTCTATACTATTAGGAGTTTTCCCTAATTTTTCATCTATAGATTTTAGAGAAAATGACTCTAAAAAATATGTTGACTGGAAAAGTTAACTTATTTTGGTTGTTTTTGAGCTTAAAGGTATATGTCAGAAGAAAAAAAAAACTGATGTGCAAATTATCAAAACTCGATGGGAAAAACATCTTAATAATATGAAAATAAGTTTTAAAAAAATTAGTATAAATTATAATTCAATTCTTAGTCAGTTTTAATGGTTCATATGTTGTTTAAAGTAATGATTAGTAATATAACAACATAAACTGCAGGCGCGGATCCAGGAATATTTTCCAGGGGGGGGGGGGTTCCACTCCAGTCAAAAAAAAAAATTCCAACCCAAAAATTTCTTGGCAGGCAAATCAAGCAAAAAAAAAACAACAAAAAAAAAAAAAAAAAAAAAAAAAAAAAGACCCCCCCCCCATAAAATCCATTTCTCGAACGTGAAAAACACCTATTTCGTGGTGGTTATGGTGGGGTCCACATTTGGTGTGTGTGGAGGACCCCTAAATGTCATCTCTTTGGTTTCAAAAGTATTACAGACCAAAAAGCCGAATCTACCATTTTTAAGCTATTTATATGGGTAATTTCTTTATTGATTTTCAATAAGGATTTAAATTAGTTTACTCGGGGTTTCTGTCAGAAGGCGGCTATATTTAACCGAAGTTCCTTTTCTTTAAACAGCCCTTACTCTGACAACCCCTAAGGAGTTTTAAAGCACAAATAAGTCAATCAAGGGCTTTCCGAAGTCATTTCTTAATCTAATCCCCCAAAGTCACCATCGAGTCACTCATATCAAGGAAGATCTGAGCCATCCTTGCATTATACACTTCTGCTGCCCAGTTTCAAATGTTAACTTTTACTGTTTTTCATCATACAAGTACACGTACACACTACTAGCAAGAAAAAAAGCATGCAAAGTGAAATGGTAAACATTAAAACTTTCTAGAATTGCACATTATCTACTTTTATAACTGCTCGTCAAAATTCTTTACCAATCTTTCAATTTAAAAAAAAGATAAACAGTGAGTAAATATTCCCAATCCTTATTAACTAGACTTGCTCAAGTCTCTATGTTTTAGTGCTCTCTTTCATACTTTTTGATAATGTCAAACATAGAGACTTGTAAACCCTGAAAATTCACTGACCAGAATATGGTCGGTAAAGGGATCATATTACAGCACTGCAGTGTGCTGCTGGAGATTCGCTGATAAGTTGACAGGTGATGAATTGTTATTGGGGATTTCCTAAATGTTACAAAGTTGGACAAATTTCACACATTCTCAAGTAAAATGAACACAGAAAAAATATCTCGAGCAATATCTGATTGATTATAGCAATTGTCTATAAGTGAATTAAAATTAAACCAGAAAAAAGTTATAGAGGCATATTTAAAGAATAATGTTTTCTTTTGTTCACCTACTGGAAGTGGTAAATCCTTAACATTTGAATTGGCACCTTTTTTGTTCAAAGCATTAAGTTGAACTCATGATAAAACAATTGTGTTGGTCATCTCCCCTCTGACCTCTCTTATAAGAAGTCAGGTACTTGCATTACAAAAGAAAGGCTTTAGTGCACATCACCTGAGTGAATTAGACGGAGAGTTTGCTGATCCGACAATTATCTTTGCAAGTCCAGAATCAATCTTAGGAACCCAAAGAAAAGTAACAGAGGATTTGGCAAAAAGAAATCTCATAAAAGCTATTTTTGTGGATGAGGCTCATTGCATAAAGAAATTTTAAGTACATAATCTATATATAAATACTTGTAAATGATTTTAGAAAAAAAAATTAAAAATTGTAAATTAATAGAACAGCTCTCCTCTATTCTGATTTTGTATGTAGTTATATAAAATAAAAATAAATAAAATCTTTAACCTCCCAAATCTTAAACACCCCTCACACATGCACACAATACATAGGTTCTATCAATGAAACCTTTTAATACAATAATCTTTTGTTTTTAATACAGCGGTGAAGATAAAAAGAAAAAAACAGCATATCGTCCATTTTATGGAAAACTAGGGGAAATAAGATCTCTCACAGGAGAAAAAGTTCCAGTGATTGCATTAACAGCAACAGCTACCGCTGAAACAAAGGAACATATTTACAAAAGCTTATCAATGAAAAATGTTAAAGAAATAATTGTCAGTCCAAACAAGATGAATATCACATATTGGTGCATCAAGTTACAGCACAGTAGCATCAGGAAAAATTTTACGTGGCTTGTTGAAAAGCTCCAAGCAAATAAGGAAAACACAACAAGAATGATCATATTTTTTAGGCAGATTAAGCATATATCAGAAGTTTACGAGCACCTGGAAGAATCACTAGGAAAGGCATCATACGTCAATTATCAGGAAGATGGCCCTAATGATGACCGCAATAGGCTCTATGACATGTACCATCTAAAAACAGATGAAGATGTAAAGGAATCTATTTGTTCATCATACCAGAATTCGAATGGTAATATTCGTGTAGTTCTTTGTTCAACGTCCTTTAGCATGGGCCTGGATGTTAAAGCGGTTGACACAGTTGTTCATTATGGTCCTGCCAATGATACTGATGACTACCTTCAGGAGACTGGACGTGCTGGTAGAGATCCGCTGATTCAAAGTCATGCAATACTCCTGCTGTATAAAAGATCCTTGGGTAGTCGTAATATTACTACTCACATGAAGGACTACACGAAGACCAATCTGTGTCAAAGACAGTGTTTGTTAAAAATGTTTGTTAAAAATCATAAACCAGAACCAATATCTCCAATGCATAACTGTTGTGATAACTGCAGGAAAAGCTGTTCATGTTCATGCAAGTGCTCAGATGAATGTTCATGTGAAGAACCATGCAATGGTGTTGAATCCAAAATATTTGAACGAATTCTTTCCTCAAATGAAGAGGATTCAGATGATAGTCAGACATCCGATGAAGGATTATCAGATGACAGTGAATTTATTAGATATCTTTCTACAAAACCAGTTCTAAACTACTCATCTGATGAAGACTGATACATTTTAAAAAGTTTTATCCATAAAAATGTTTCCTTTTATAATCTGAAAGCGAAGCTGATATCCAGTTGCGCACACCATCCATATCTAGTTGGAAAAGGGGAATTTTTGACTTTTGAAATGAAGGATCATGTTGTCTTCCAGGTATTATTGAAAAAAGGTCAAGTTTTTGATACTGTTCAACTAATTTCAAAATATCCTCAGTGAAATCTGCTGCTGTGTGTTTAGATGTTGCTTTTTTCACATGACAGTTTGTATCAAAGCACTGTACAACAGATTGTAATGAAAGTGCACTTCGGCTTACTCTGGACACTGTTTTCTCTGTAAAAGTACCTCTGAAACTATGTGCTTCGTCCTTGAAAACTTTGTTGCAGTGTTCTATGTCCAAATCATTGGGATGATTTGAATCCCATTCCCCTCTGTGATTGACAGTTCGATTCCATATTAATCTATGAGCCATTCTTTCAGTCAAAAGCACCTTTGTCTGAGCTATTGTCTCTAAAAGCCCATAAGCATACTTCGGACAGTTGCAAGCTTTGTAAAACAGAACAAGAAACTGATTTATTCGCATGATATGCTCACCATCTCCCATACGAATGGCATCATTGTGGTTCATTCTCAGTAGTCCCAAATTCAACATTAACCGTGTATAGTTGAATACCCCATCCTCTGAGGTCTGTGTCGTAATTTCTGTAATACCGGTATCTCCATACAAAGGATCTGGGTGACCATGAACCTTGGCCTCGTGCTTTCGTAGTGATTTGGGTCGCTTGTATTCCTTGTTGCAGTAACGACATATCAAAGAATTTGATTGGGGACCATACTCTGGCAAAAGTGGTGTATCAGGAACACAGAACCGCTTTGCAAATTCAGATGCATGGACTAAAATATATTCATACATCTCTTTCTTGTCACCAATTGCCCCGTTATATATATTTTTTGTTGGGACTGAGTTCAGGGAATCCATTCCAAAGTATTGAAGACCTCCAGTCACTATGTAGGCTGTTGTAACTTTTTCTACCAGGTCAGAACAAGCATAAAAATCCTGAGACGATTGTTGAGTGACATTCCTAGAGTTCAAAGTATTTCTTGCTGCATACAAAGTTCCCTGGTTGCGGGCAGAGCTGGTGTTGTATAGTTGAGAACATGTTACCTAATAAAATAGAATACAATGCATTTGTTAATAGTTAATATTCATGTTTCACGATTTAAATAAGCAACCATACAAGATAAAGAAAACTGAATTCTACCTTTAGCAATTCAGCTTGGTTATGAAACTCTTCCATTTTCGGAATTAAGCCCTGCAAACGCTTAGAGGGGGTGCGACCATTTCGTTTCGATGATTGGGCTTGCTTATGGCGCTCAAATGTGAGATAGTCACCCCCACTCAATACTTTGTCAGGTTTCTTTTGCCAGTCATCATTTGTTTCATGTCCAGGAATGAAAGTGTGAAGAAATTCACAAATATCTGTCATATCCTCATTGTACTGCTCACATTTCATAAGTACTCCAAGGTTAATCTGGAACACACATGGTTCATTGCAGTTGATTAAATTTTAATTAATGTTGATATTGTATTTATAAACAATTTTAAAGAATATACTTCTTCAGATTAGTTATCTATTAAATTGCTAAAATAATGTAAAAATGTCTACTTACCCTGTTGGTCCGAGATTTCATTTCTTTGAGATACTCGTGACTGATGTATTTTGGCAGGACATTGATGTACGGCAAAAAATGAGAAATGAACTTTGACCATTGCTGTGCCACTAAGAAAGTTGTTTCAGATAAAAGACATTTCTTCTCATGTTCACTAGGTATCAGGTGCTTGAAATTGTATGTGTCAATATTTGTCTTGGGTCTACTGTTATCGAGATGGTTTCCAGAAACTCGATTTTCATAGGCACAGATCTGGAACATGTGCTGATCTTTGTTTTGGTTGGTAATTGTCATACTCCTAACTTTTGTTCTCAGATCTACATTGTCACCAACAAAATAGTATCCAGGGTGCATGTTTTTTCGATGTTGCTGTAGATCTTGTCTGGCACTAGCTAATGCAAGTGTGAACTCAGGGTCTCCATCGGCATCCTGGTGCACTGATACTAATTCTTCATAAACATGCACACTATTCATCAATTGATCTTCAGTTTCTCTATCTTGTTCAACAGCGACTTGCCAACTTCTAATATCTCGATCCCAGTCTGCTCCATAGCGATCTGCTAAAGCTAAAGTTGCTGGATAAGACAAGCAATCGAAAGTAGAATTTAACCTTCGAAAAGCAGACTTTTTACAACCTCCTTTCAGCAATATGATGCTATTAATGTGTTGAAAGAGACTAAGCTCTTGATTATGGATGCTCAGTAACTTTGATCCCACTGACACAATACCTGGCAGTAAAGCGTCATCTTTTTTACACTTGTTTCTCGTTTGTGATGGATTTGACACTATTGTTTCCAGAATTTCCAGGAATACTGGGGCTTCTTTCTGCCATTCCTTCAAAACTTTTTCTAAGGAAAATGATAGTACAGCCTCCTTATCTTTTCTTCTAAGAACAGAATTGAAACTCTTTGAAACAATATTTCTTATTTCAGATTGAAGTATTTGGTAAATTTTATGTTTTAGACATTCAAGGAGATTCGGAATTTCGATTAATTTTTCTGAAAATTCCTTTATATTTCCACATTCTAATAACTGGACGAGCTTCGCTGCATGGTGTTGAGAGGAATCTTTGTTTTCCTAAAAAAAGGTTAAACGAAGATTACAAATTACAAGTTGAGTTAAATTATAATATTAAGGGAGAAGGGGAAATTGAGGAGGCTTAACTGATACAGGAAAAATGTTTATGTTCAGTATTTGAATGCCAAGTAGGTCATTAAGAATATTAATGTTCTCAAAGTGTATTGATTAATTTGACTGTAATAATTTATCTTAATATTAAAACAAGAGCTAAAACAAAACAAACCTTGTAGTCATCATTTTCAGAGAAAGGTTGAAAATATTGGTCAATATCTTCAGATACAGTTTGATATTCACCTGGAAACAAATTTCGTTTCTTCACAGATGTTTCTGGCTCAAGTGCTGCTAACCTCTTTGATGTTTCCTGTCCATGAGATTCTAAAAGGCTACTTATTGTTCGCTCATAATTAGACTTGAGTTTTAAAATAGTTTCATTCACTTTATTAAGTTCTCTTGCACATTTGCGGCACACTGTATCTGTATGGGTCTCTGGATTTATGTCTATGTGCAAGTATCTTTCAATTAATACACAATATTATGTTTTAGATGATCCTTGAAATAACTTTCTTCTTAAATTACTATCCTCAGTTTTATTTCCACACAATAAACAGATAAATTTCTTTGTTCTCGGTGTATATCTAATAAAACTAAAAAACTTTCTAGGTGTAGAAGCAGCCATATGAGTTCGCCAGTTTTGAGGACTGATAACCGGGAGTGTAATTGCTAGCTGAGCAAAAACAATTTAATTTTGTGAAAGGTCATAAAACTGTCTCGAAGAGCGACACATGATGACAGATTTAATAGTGAGGCTGATAAGCCCTGTGCAGAGTTTACAAGTCTCTATGTTTGATAACATTTAACTATGAGGGAGAGCCGAGGACAACAAGACAACCAGAAGTCTCTGATGAGACTGTAGCTCTACTGGTCTGTATGTATAACAAAAGAAAAGTAGCACTTGGATTTGAAACTTTGCAACATGCAAAAATAAATAGAATTATGTATCTTAATGTAGTCGACTTCTGTGCCAAGTTATATTGAAATCAAATGAAAACTGTAGGAGGAGTAGCGTTTTGAAAGTATTTCACGGAAATTTCTATTTTTAGTAACCATGACAACACCATTCACCGAAATAAAAAAAAAAACAGAAATACATATTATGTATCGTAGTGTATTCTAACTGTGTGCCAAGTTATATTGAAATCATACCAAAACTGTAGGAGGAGTAGCGTTTTAAAGGAATTTCACAAAAATTTCTATTTTTAGTAACCATGACAACACCATTCACCAAAAAAAAAAAAAAAAAAAAAAAAAAAAACAGAAATACATATTATGTATCGTAGTGTATTACCATGACAACACCATTCACCAAAAAAAAAAAAAAAAAAAAAAAAAACAGAAATACATATTATGTATCGTAGTGTATTCTAACTGTGTGCCAAGTTATATTGAAATCATACCAAAACTGTAGGAGGAGTAGCGTTTTAAAGGAATTTCACAAAAATTTCTATTTTTAGTAACCATGACAACACCATTCACCAAAAAAAAAAAAAAAAACAGAAATACATATTATGTATCGTAGTGTGTTACCATGACAACACCATTCACCAAAAAAAAAAAAAAACAAACAAACAAACAGAAATACATATTATGTATCGTAGTGTATTCTAACTGTGTGCCAAGTTATATTGAAATCATACCAAAACTGTAGGAGGAGTAGCGTTTTAAAGGAATTTCACAGAAATTTCTATTTTTAGTAACCATGGCAACACCGTCCATTGAAATAAAAAACTAATGCACTAAATTATGTATCCTAGTGTAGTCTACTTGTGTGCCAAGTTATATTGAAATCGGACCAAAACTGTAGGAGGAGTAGCGTTTTAAAGGAATTTCACAGAAATTTCTTTTTTCGTAATCATGGCAACACCGTAAATTGAAATCAAAAACCAATGCACTAAATTATGTATATTAGTGTAGTCTACTTGTGTGCCAAGTTATATTGAAATCGGACCAAAACTGTAGGAGGAGTAGCGTTTTAAAGGAATTTCACAGAAATTGCTATTTTTAGTAACCATGGCAACACCGTCCATCGAAATTAAAAACAGATGCACTAAATTATGTATCTTTGTGTAGTCTACTTGTGTACCAATTTATATTGAAATCAGACCGAAACTGTAGGAGGAGTAGCGTTTTAAAGGAATTTCACAGAAATTTCTATTTTAAGTAACCATGGCAACACCGTCCATTGAAATCAAAAACCGATGCACTAAATTATGTATCTTAGTGTAGTCTACTTGTGTGCCAAGTTATATTGAAATCGGACCAAAACTGTAGGAGGAGTAGCATTTTGAAAAATTGTTTACAGACAGACAGACAGACAGACGGACGGACGACGGACACCTTACTCTCGCATAAGCTCTTCTGGTCTCTGACCAGTAGAGCTAAAAATGAACAAAGAATTTATTTGATTAAAAAAACAACAACATAGAGACTTGAGCAAGTCTACTTATTAACATGTACATAAAAAATTAAAACATGCTATTAAATAGAATCAGCTATTTAAAACTACTGGAAAGAAGATGTGTTTGTGAAACACTGATGCTCCCATATGGCAGCACAAGGCGTGATCAGTATACTACGTACATGTGTATCCGCAGGTGGCAGGGCAATTTGTGCATAGCACCTCCAGGACCACGACACTCCTCCCCATTTTGATAAAGTGCATCCCAGCCCGTTACAATAGGATAAACTATAATGTACATAATATTAATTACTAGCAGGGACTACCAAACTTACAAATATTACCAATTACACATTAGTGTCCATAATAAATGATTGAAAAAGTAACAGTCAATATCAAAGTTCACAAAGTAATAATCACATCTTGTCATGGGCATCCCTCGTCCGAGTCTTCTAAGGTCCACCGTTGTCTCCGTCTCACCGAGTGGTTCCACGACGTCATCCACCATCCTCGCCTCCTGACAAGGACATCACAACGTAGGACAGACATGATGACTAACTTTGACATAACGCCCACGGCAGAATACAAGATCTGGATATCACGGTTATCCCTCGATCAGGGAAAAATCCTTGTGCGAAAAATTATTAAAAAAAAACATGCTTCCTTAGCAGTAGAAACCGATACTTACAATCTATCTAGCGAACATTTGTACATGTCTCCGCCTCCTTGAGGGACCCTTATCCTCTACTCTAGTGATCACTAACACTAAGCTACATTCGGGACATGTATACTGGGGTATGGAGTTTGCATAAGCCTTGCTAATATCTACACACTCCGGGTGAAACCAATCACGGCAACTATCACATTGTATCATAGATCCCTTGGAGCTAGTTTAAAACAAACACAGTATTGTTTTGACTTAGTTCCCCTAGTAGCCCTAGGTCTCTTAGGCGTACTGGGCACATCGGGCCTACTTAACCTTTCCCTCACCCGTTTCCGGGTACCCATGTAAGGACCTACTTGCTCCGCTGGCTTCGGGTCGGCTCTATAGTTTTTAATTTGCGTCCCCGGTCCCCAGGACTTAATCCTGAACCCATGCCCCCAGCGGTGTTCCCGGAATAGCTACCTCACGCACAGGAGAACTACTGTACAAATGTCTTGGTCTGCGTTTTCTCCTGACAACTTTCGCTTATATGACACAGACCATTTCGGGAGCTGTCTCGACTCCCACTTTTTGAGTTTATCATAGTGCATCACCTTGACCTCTCTCCGAGACTTCACTGCAAACACTGTGTCGGATTTGGCCTCTATTACAACACCCAGACCGATTCTACTTTTTTGCCCGCATTGCAGGTATCTCTCCACCTCGCCCTCCTCCCCATTTTGAAAAGACTTCGAAGAGGTGGGCAGACATCAAGGTTGCTGGTCTATTAACCTCTCTACCTTACATTGGTGTCTACCCTGTATGGCGATTTACTACCGACCGCATGCTACAGCTAATGGACCTAAGTATTTGTCCCATTACTTGGGCTGGCCGTCAATGTAGCAATGGACCGCGCACATCAAGGTGCGGTTGTACTTTTCTACCTGTCCGTTGCCAGAAGGTTTATATGGTGTTGTCCTGGCTTTTTGTACTCGTAGCATGGTACAGATCTTACGGACCAGCTCATTCCAAAGTTACCGCTTTGGTCCATAAAGATCTCGAAGGGAATGCACTCAGCACATTTAGTGACATTTAGTGCACTCTCTCCATCGGGCTTCCGGCCTGATAACTCTAATTCCGATCTATTCGGCAGAGAATCTCTCTTGTTTTTGGCACAAATGTTACATGTCCTGACTTAATGCCCCCAATCCGCCACAAGTAGAACTGTTGCTCAAGACGTCCAATAGTTCTCTGGATCCACTTGTGATCAGATGACGGAATTCATGACACAGGTGCATAACCTTTGACCTACGACCTCTTGGAACTAGAAACCTACCAGGCATGTCCGAGTCCTCAGGTTCCCGCTAAATAAATCTAATCTCGTCTAGGTAAAAACAATCTCTCATCAATACTTTTCCAAGATTTACGTTTCAAGCTATATTCTAAGAATCGCTCGAATACCTGTTATAGGTTGTCTAAATGAGCTCGTGTTGAAACCCACAGCACTAATACATCGTCTAGGAATGCTTTTTAATAAGCTCTTTTCCAGTTCGGTCCATGCAACAACAAGTTGATGGCCCAAAGGAAGGTCGCGGTGGCGTTGCAAAGATCTTGTAAATTTTAAATTACCATAATTGGTTATGAGGGCTGTCTTTCTCCGGTCTTCCGGAGCTATGTTGATCTGCCAATCGGTCACATTGGAGTCTAGCTTGAAGAACCAGCGGTTTCCCGCTAAGGTGTTCATACACTCCTTGATGAGTGGCAAAGTGTACGTGTCCTTAGAAGTCACTTTGTTTAAAGCTCTGTCGTTCACGATACAATGATAGATTGTATTTGCTGACAAGGTCATTGTGGACCATAGAACTTGCAAAATGTTGACTTCAAACGAGACTGTTGATATTCTTGTTTCATCAACTTGCTTGTCAAAAGTTTACCTCGTTTTAAAAATTGTTCGTACGTAGAGCATACTTTTGCGTATCGAATCAACTGGGAGAAATAAACTTTATATGCAGGTGATAAGGGTAAAAGGTGATTTAATTGAAATGTTTCTTGATTAAAGGTAACTTAATGCCTACAGCAGCAAGAAATTGTTACTTTAAAACACAGGTATATTGTTTTCATAGGTACATGTACAATAATCAGGCTCTCTTATTAAGACGTCTTTAAGATATTTATCTGGCAGTCTTAATTTTCCTTGTCTTTCCTTAATATAGCAGTATTAATCAAATTTTAGCCACACTATTTAATTTTTAGAATAAGATTGCTATAAACTTTTCACATAAGGTCAAATATTTAATGTATGCAAAATGTGTCTATATGGTTACCACTAATAACAATATATTCTAAATAATTTCTTCACAGTGGCAACGAAGTGCTAATGTTTTTGAGAGGGTAGTTAATTGGTTTTCTAAGTCTTTATTAAATCTTTTTTGCTCCTCCGGGGGCCCAATTTGGACTAATAAAATCTTGTATCTTGTATTAAGGCTCAATAAAGACTAAGAAAACCTAGGCAACCACGACACATAGCATTTCCACATTTTGATTGACTTATGTGTCTGATACCAAATTATAAACAAAGTTTCATTAAAATCGGTGAC